ATGTTCTGCTTACTTCCATGTGCTTCTTCTTTCAAAACTTAAGTGTACTTCATATGGCCAGCTAATTAGATCACTGTAGAACTTTAAAAATTCTGTCTGCTTCTTCATGGAGTTAAGCTAACGCTAAAACCAAAGAAAGATTCTTGCATACTCAAGGATGGATCATAGACATTATCAGACTAGAACGTCGATGTTTGAGGAGTTTCTGTTCTTATGACCATCATAGAGTGTAATAAACTAGCTCATTTCTCATACATTTGTTATTTTAAATGATACATCATGAAACCAAAAACACTCAAGACAGGAGATTGGATATGCATCCATATTTACAGCTTCAGAAAAGAGCAACACAGAAGATGTAAATGGATGGATATTTCATCGTTATTGAAAACTTTGAAAAAGAAAAACAAAGGCAAACAAGGAAAAGTTACAACAAACAAACAGAAACCAGTGAACTATTATATCAAAGCCACAACCCCTTTCTTTCTTTTGGTGACTACTTGCTCGCGGCAGCGAGTTCCGCAGTGATAATGAAGCTCGATTTCCCAGCTTGTCTCAAGTACTGAACATCTCCATTCATCAGCTTCACCAGTTTCCTGCTAATCATCAAGCTCAATCCTTCTTCCGACACTTCTTCCTCGGTCCCAAACATTTGGTTTAGTAAAAACTCCGGTATTCCAGCTCCGGTATGCGTTATCCTGTTTTCATGAACCCAATATCCTCAATTCACTATTTGTTTGTAACATGATATTATGCATTCTGGTTAATAATATTTTACCTGATCTCTAGATAAGCAAGATGCACAGATCGCCCGAGCTGATCTTTCCTCAGGGAAGCTGTAAGAGTTAGCTGACCTCCAGATGGTGTAAAGTTAACAGACATCAGCATGAAATCTGCCAAGACTTGTTGAAGCCTAATACTGTCTCCATACAAAGTATCAGACATTACTTCTTCTCCCGTCTCATTTGTTATCCGAACGCTCTTTCCGTTACTCTTCATCATTACTTGACTTGTGGAAGCAGTTAACACTTCACTTAAGCTGAATTCTTTCATTTCCAGATCCAAGCACCTGCATAAAGTCAAATCCCCACATGAGAAAACAGAAGAGTGGTTAGAAAAAGATAATAAAGACTTCATTCTTGCATACCCTTCAATGATGCTTTCAAGATCAGAATCATCAAGGATCTTGCTGAGTTGCTTTTGACATAACGCACTTGTTTGCAAAATGCGTCTCTGCTCTGGTCCTAACTCAGTGCCTTCCATCATTTTCCTCGTAAACATGATCCCAGAGAGTGGATTCCTGATCTGTCTTTTTATGTAAGCTAGAGCCTTCAGTCTCTTCAACGCAGTTCGCTCAGCTAGACGCTGAACATGGAGGGCTTGCTGCAGCTCATGGCTGGCAAGTTGCAGGAAACAGAAGACGCCGGTCACTACACCTTCCCTGTCCAGTTTTTTGCTCACACACAACAGACACTCCACATACTTGCCACCTTTTGTAAAGAAAGCAAAGGACACTTTCTCTGACTCCTGACTTGTCACAGCATTGTTCAGCACAATCCCAAGGTTTACAAAGGCTTCTTGATTCTTTAGACGACAACATGACTTCTGCGTTCCAAAGACCTCTCCTAACAGCATCTTGTCCATCACTTCCTCTCGCTTCAAACCGGTTAACTTTGACATTGCTGGATTCCACTCAGTGCACCACCCGAACTCGTCAGTACCAAAGATGGGCGGGATGAGCGGGTTTGGGTTTTGGATGATCGCCTTGTAATCACCTTCAATCCGAGTAAACTTGTCCATCACAGTCTTTTGTCCAGTAAGATCATGGGCTACAAAACACACCCCAACCACGTTTTCATGGAGATCTCTACTTGCGCATGCATTTACAACTAAACTTATTGGCCCAGCATCAGCTCTTGACAGATGTGTCTTGATCTCAAATTGGACATTCTGCTCCTCGGTTCCTGCATATATATGCAACCACAGTTTATAAACTCTACTTCAGCATTTTAGAGATAAAAAGGGAAAATGAAATAAACACCAAGTTTCTTCGACTAGGATACTCAATTGGAAGTTAACAGAGTCATGTAGTCGAAATATTCTAAGCAAAACTCAGCGTAAGTTGGGAAGAGAGTTACCTTCTAATGCTTTCTCCAACATCCTTTTAACAATTTCCACTGAAGAATCTTCAACAAGTGTGAGGAAATGCTTCCCGATTGCTTCTTCAACCGGAAGACCAGTCAGCTCAGCAATTTTTGTGTTCCAGCCATTAACCAATCCATCAGAATCAACCGCCAATATTGGTACCGTAGCAGTCTCAATTAAACGAACCATCTCACTGGTCACAGCTTCTAGTTCTTGTATACCATCAATTTTTAGATCATTGAGCTTCGAGTGAATGATCTTTGTATTCACATCAGTAGTTTCACCATCCTTGAAAGCATTCCTCAGAATAAGCTGCAAGGAGTGTATGGCATCCATCTCATAGTCCTTCCAAGGTATACTCCTTGTCTTGACCACTTCAAGAAAAGCCTTGAACGATGACCTTGGGTGCATTCTCCTTGCATCATCCCTATCATCTGGATCATGCTTTGCACCTCCCCATCTCACTTCACCAGCGGTATGAGAACGGAACCAGAAAATCATGTCTTTCGCTGATATCCTCACAGCCGCCATTCCACATACTGAATCCCCAAGAGCTAGAGCCCTTGGAAACCCGGCGTCATGCAAGCTATCGGTGCTCAAACCCGTTGAATCCGTGTGGTATTCACACAACCAAGAAGCTATCTCCTGCAGATGGAAGTCACTTGGAGCTGTTCCAAGTTTCCATACCTTATCTTTATACAAGAGAGCTGCTCCATCACATTTCACAAGGTCCATTATGTTGGGGCTCTGTGACACAATACCCAGTGGAGCATCACGCATCAGCATATCGCACAAGAGTGTCTGTGTGCGCAAAATGTTCTTCTCCACAATCTGATTCTCCAGCTCTACCTCCTTATTGACGTGTATAGCAAACACTTGAGCTAGAAACTCACAGGCATACCTGAGAGGAAATGGAACAAACCTCGGACTAGTGTTATGACAAACCACCAAACCCCATAGTCTCTTTCTCTTTTGAGGCTGAGTAGTAGAATCAGGAGCATCCCCTTCTCCATCTTCCTCGTTAACTACAACCGCCATAACCAGAGATGCAATTGAATCCATGTTGGCCATGTACTGCAAATGGCAGCTGTGTGGTGCCCTAAGGGTGGAGCCACACAAGGTAAGATCAAAGGAAAGCTTTTCATCTTGAAGCACCCTAACATGTTTTGCATTGCAATCAACGATCATCCGAACCTTGTTCTTCATAAACAGAAAACGAGCTGCTTGAGGGATGTCGGTGGCTGGATAATGCAACCCAAGATAAGGCTCCAGTCCGGGTTTCGTGACCTCAGAGACAACCTCACCGTGATCATCATCATGAAATTTATATGCCATCACCCTGTCATAGCCAGTGAGTTCAAAAACCTCCTGAACCATCGTATCGCAAAGCCTTTCCATGCTTCCACTAGGCAGAGATTGCAGCCTAGTGATNGCTTTTGCAGCGAGCTTGTATGATTGTAAAGCACCAGCAGCTGTCATGGGGACTTCATAAGGCTTCACCGGTTCAAAGTCGATGATGATGCTCCCTGTAACCCTGTGGACTATCGCATAAAATGGCTTTGCAGAAGTCTTGCAGTGCACAAGAATGGGATTCAACAGGGAGACATCTCCAAATCCAAGGGCCTTCTGCAGTGCAGAGGCACTAGGAGGAGTGAAAAGATTCCTTATGTCCGTCCCAATTCCGAGAACAGGGTGTTCGCCAACACTAGGAACTGCATGACTGGTCATTGTCAACAGCTCGGGAGCATTCTCGCTGTATGCAATGACTTTGAAGGTCTTCTCATCCAAGGCAAGCAAACAACCAAAAGGCTGAATCAGCTTTCCCTTCTGTATGTGATGAAGATAAGTCGTGGTCACCTTGTCAGACCTCTGTGGCTGGTTCTCCACAACCGGGCCAGTGACACGCACTGAGGTTGAGTAATCAAAGGAACTGCCTGACTCCTCAAAATCAGCATGGAGCTTTGCATCTACAGTGGTCTGCGCAATGATCCTAGCGCTTTGTCTTGATCGCCTCGAGCCCTCAGAGGACTGACTCGGCCTAGCCCCTGACATTTTTTCCCTGACACCAGAGACAAGACAACAAGAACTAAGTGCAAAACTAGGATAAAGAGAGAAAAATACATTCATACCATAATCATATGAACACAAGAACATTCATTGCCAGTCATACAAGCTATACGTATAAGCATAAACTTGAAACACTAAGAGCCAATCGAGAATTTCAAACACTAAATCGCCGCTATAGCAAAAGACTAATTACATCTAGAAAGTCTACCTAGCTGAACCCAGATACAGCAACAGATGAAGGAATCATCCTGCTATATTCCATTAGTCAATGATTCATCATTCACAAAGCAACTGAACCAACTTAATTATGATGTGTAAAAACATAGCCAAGGAGTCAGATTCCATGAAAACTACCTTTCTAATCCATCTTACAATCCAAAATCAACAAGATCTCAGCAATAAACATGTAGCACAAATGGTTTCTTGATACTCAACAGGGAGAGAATCCACTACACAATACTAACAAAAACGAGGATCTGAGCCAATCTTGCCTTTCAACATTCAAATACAGCAACATAGAATAAGTAAACTCAAACAAGGGAACTCTTAAAAAGTCTTTATAGCTATAATACCTTTTGAAAAAAAGGAGCAGTAAAGTCCCACCGCGAAAGCAATCGTCAAGAGTAAGACCGCTAAGAGGATGAAATTAATTGGATTTTTCTTCTCTTAAATGGTCACAGACTACAAAAATAAAATAAAAAATAAACCACACATCAAGCCGGATCAAAAGAGAAAAGCTTTTAACTTTAACTACCTTCAAAAATACTGATAAGGAGGAAGAGTGACTCTTACTAAGCAGAAAACAATCAAAGCAAAAGTTTGGATATTTATAATATAAATCAAAGAAAAGGAGGAAACTTTGGGAAAAGGAAAGTAGCTAAACCTTTA